TCCAGCAGGAGCTGGGCACCGTCACCGTGTAGTGCGTGGGGCGGCGGCGGGGGCCCACCCGCAAGGAGTCCATCCTGGGGGGGACGAAGACAGACACTCTGAGTCTGGGGGTGGGGGCGGATCCCCTCCTGGTGACCCACTGCCTCCCCTCGCCCCGCCCACAGCCCCCTGCTCCAGTCCGCTTTTCTGGCGCATGGCTGGTGTGCGACGTTGCTGTCACGCATTCTCAGTCATTCGAGGGACCCTGTGCCCAGCGGCGTTTCATCCACAGACACTACCACGTCACTAACCGGAGTGTGGCACAGGATGTGGCCACGCGAGGGAGGACGCCACGGTCCCCAGTCTGAGGACAGAGCCTCGGGAGAAACCGGCCCCTGAGCTTGGACCACCGGCCTCCTCCGCCGTGAGACGATCATTTCCGTCCTGCGAGCCGCCCGTCCGCCGCATGTGGTGAGGGCAGTGCGGGCAGCCTCACGGGCAGCTCATCAGGGTGGCCTCCCCCAGAGGCGCCGGCCCTGACCCCCTGGGGCCGGAATCCAGCCGCCGCTCTGCTGATACACAGCGCACAGCCTGTGTTGTTTACTAATGCGCACAGAGGCTCTGTCTGCAAAAGGGCCAGGCAGTCCGTGAAACCTGAAACCCATTCTCCACTTGAGAGCCATCGTCCCAGGCGGCACCCCACCTCACGCTGCCTAACGAGCCAACTCAGACTGACGGGAGGACCCCCCGCAGGCCCTGGGGTCCAGGCCGTGGCATGGTGTGGTGTCGCTGACACCTGCCGGCCGGGCGGAGGGACGCAGCGTGCGGTCGGTTCTCAGCGCCCGCAGAGCCCGCATCTGCAGGCAGCAGGAGGCCGGGGTGGGCCTCGTGCGAAAAGTCCTGGACGAGCTCCGTCCGGGCACAAGTTCGATGTCACCGAAATACGGCAACTTTACCCAGAAAGGCACGTCCCATGGGTCACATGCCGATCGGCCGACAAAAACGTTATGAGCGGAAGCTCGCGAGGGCCCCACGCTGTGTTCCCCGGGAGCGACAGCTGTCGTGGTGAATTTAGTGTCTGTGGCGACTTCACAGGACATAAAATGACCGCGAACAAGAATCCACGGATGCGGTCGGTGACCCACAGTCTCAGACAACTGCTGAAGCTCCCGCCCACACACAGGGGCTCCGGGGACAGAGAGTGGCCGGCCTGGCACGCTGCATCTGCCCTGAGCCCCCAGCATGGGACGCCTGTGCAGACGGACACGCGGGGCCCGCGGAGGAGCCCGGCTTCACGGGCGGCCTGCCCCTGGCCCTGCGGGCTGTGGCACAGCCGGGCGGACTGGCTGCGTGTCACCCACAGCTGCACCACCACCCTCCACTGTAGGGTCTCACGGTGTGTCCCCTGTTCCCCGCGTGTTACCTCAGAGACTGGCCCCTCCTGCCCTGCACCTCGGGGGTCGGGGGGGCACTGGTGCGACCCTGCCACTGGCCGGGAACACTGCGGATGGGGACCGCACGGCGGGGCGCAGGCTGGGGCAGCCACGGGCCGGGGGCGCCGGGCCGGTCCTGCGGCGTGGTGGCCGGGCTGCTGCGGAGGGGTGGAGGCAGGTCAGTGGCAGAAGGCTCCCGTGCGTGGTGCACGCTTGCAGACAAAGGGGGTGCTTGGCAGGGGCCCCAAGCTGCCAGCAGCAAGCACCAGCTGGGCAAAGGGACAGCCTCCGGCCGGGCCCTGCCGCGCCCCCCGCGGGCCCTCCCCGCGGCCTCCCTGCCCTCACCTCGCCTCGCTGCTGGGCTCGGAAGGCTTCCGCGGCTTCTCGTACGGGTGGTCCAGGCTGGTCTCCCGCCAGGGGCTGTTCTGGATGGGGGCCTGGTCCAGGCCTGCCATCTCAGGTCCAGCTGGCTGCAGCCCCTCAAGGCTCTGGGGCGGGAGAGGCGGGGACTCCGGGGGAGCTTCTGGCACCGGGGCGGCCTCTGCAGGAGTGGAGAGGCCGGAGGGCAGTGGCTGGGGAGCCTCTCGTACGGGTGGTCCAGGCTGGTCTCCCGCCAGGGGCTGTTCTGGATGGGGGCCTGGTCCAGGCCTGCCATCTCAGGTCCAGCTGGCTGCAGCCCCTCAAGGCTCTGGGGCGGGAGAGGCGGGGACTCCGGGGGAGCTTCTGGCACCGGGGCGGCCTCTGCAGGAGTGGAGAGGCCGGAGGGCAGTGGCTGGGGAGCCGGCCATGCGGCTCCCCCCCCCCCCATGGCTGCTGTCCAGCTACACTCCCCCCAGATGCTCAGAAAGGGCTCCCCCTCCGGGACCC